CGACTTTTTACCTGTCCCGGGAAGGGGGCACCCGAAACAGGGATTAAAAAAGATATTACTGGTCCTCGGACAGTAAAAAAATCCCTGTCTATCTGTGAGCCAATACGAGTACTCGAGTACAACATTTGGGTACCCCCTCCATGTTTTCGGGTACAAGTACTTCTTACCCGGAGCAAGTACTAGTGCCGCAGGAAAAGACACAGTATACCGTACGTACTCGAGTACTCGAGTGCAATATACCTAGTCCAAGTACTGTACACTGGTGCCGAAAGATGCCTGCCAGCACAGTACTTGTACAGCCCGTTCGCCAAGTTCACACAGATGCAAAGGTAGCGTAGCAGGCTCACAGCAGCAATGGGAGTATCGGTACTGGTTCGAGTACACTTGTATCATACCTGTACCGTACTAGTACACTGCCTTGCCAACACCCGCTGTCCAAATTGAGCAACGCAACAGACTTTCCCATCAATTTGAGGTACTCGGGTACAACAAGAGCAGAAAGATTTGCCCGCACCCTACCCACCATAGTAGAACTCCAGAGACTGAGTGGAAATGGGGGTGTTATCGTCAAACACAACATCTAGACTATGCATCCATCGCAATTTTTTGTACAGTACTCGTATCATACTGGCACTCTAGCTGCCGCCAAGACGCTTCTGCAAATAGGGCTTCACCGTACTAGTACAGAAGGGATCTTTCGCGACCTGCAGCCCCGCGGCACCGCCAACCAGCCAGATTGAATCACCCCTTCCTACTCGGCTTTTACATGTACTCTTGACCCCAGAGAAGACTGGAACTCCAAAAAAAAAAAAAAACTTAGGTTACAACAAGGAAGTTCGATGTGCTCGAGTAGGTTCCTCTGAGGCGGCCAACATTTAGGTTGTTGCTAGGTCGTACGGGTGGAGGAAATGTAAGGGTTTGACTGCGGGAGGAAGAAGGGGGGAAGGTTGGATAACCTGCTAACCGGATTTTTTATCTTGCGGACACTAGATTTTCCTTGTTGGGTTTATGGGACGTTTTGGGATGGCGATGGTCAGGTCCCCCCTTTCGGTCATGACGATTTCCTCGAGAACGAGCGAGGTAAAAGTACCGTACAAGCATCAAACCAGATTCAGGATTTCAATTGCCCCCCTGTCCCAGTACGCATACTACGATGCTCAAGTACCACCGCTCCGCGGGGTTTTTGTTATTATCTGCTGCGGATAGACTCTATAGGCAGTGGCACTCACCGCCAGAGCGGTGAGGCGCCTGAAAATCTTGAAATATAAAATACAGGTGGTGGCACTCGTAGAGATGGTGCTAGGGGGGTTCTACCGGCCAATACTGATATCTGGTGAGCGTAACCAAAGGAAACCCAATTTTGGCTCCCCCTCTGAAGGTTCAAAAAAGTCAAGCGAATCCTAAACACCCACCACCATGATATACGGTACCGGTACTCTGGTACTACTCCTGAGGTGGCCGAAATGGCCGACAAGTCAATCCCCCCTTCGCCTCCCACACAAGATCATACAAGTTCCCCAACGTCCAGAACACAAAGGGGGAGAAGCAGTCAGCAAAGTTCCTTTCCTTCCGCTCTCACATTGCCTGACTCCCTCGCCCTCAATGACAAACCCCACGAGAACCCCCTCCCCCTCATCAAAACTCGCTTTCTTCTTCCTTTGCCTTCCCCTATCACAATTGGTGACGCCGCTGCCGAGAAGGGGGGTCAGTGCTAAACGGAAAAAAAAGAGAAGGAATAAGAAAGAAACGCCCCGAAACGGACTCACAATTCAGCTCTGATTTCACTAAACCCAGATCGAAACACAGGGAGCCCATGGTCTTGCTCTGGCTGGATGGACCGTCGCAGAGAGGCCACTGCTGCTCTATCTACACTAGGAGCCCCGGAGACATGTGTTCAATATATGGCTTTTGCATTTCGTTTTGCTCGGTTTTCCTTTTCTTTAACATCATATCCAGTTCCTGGCCTCCTGTGGCCTTTTCCGGGGGCAGAAGGGGGGCAGAAGATGTCCTCAATCGAAATCCTCTCTCGTGGTACGAATACCAGAATTTTGGGGTGCTTTCCTCTATGGGCCTAGCCCCGCACATATTTTGGTGGAGGTACGTACTCTATGATAGGAACGTAGGCTGCGGAATTACCATGTTGCGGAAGCCGGCGTATAATCCGCTGTCAACCTCGTAGCAGAAGACTTTTGAGAGTGGATCAACTTCTGACGGAAGAGAGAAAATGCCATCATTTCGTATCAAGGCGTTAATCCCTCCCCGCCCCTCATTCCTTATCACTCGACAATACCGGTACCCCTCTTACCTATAGTTTTTTTATCACGTTCCCTCATCTCTGATATCGGTAGTGATGATGTCCGCATTCTTTTTCATACTATCTCTGCATCCCGTCTGATGTTGGGATGTCTGTAAAAGGATAAGCTGGACTGCGAGTCTGGGTAGGTTTTGAATTGCTCTGGGTTTTCACCCGGATTCTGTTACTGCGTTAAGAAGTTGGTATACCGGATTTCGCTTCACGCTTTTCCAGCTGTCGAGTGCTTGAATGGAGCATGATCGGAGTATCCGGGGATAGCCTCACACCTAAATTTGCCTTGTAATACATCCATATCTAACCTGACTTATCTTTCTTACCTCCCACAGACTCTTTTCCCCTCTTTATTCCAATGGAGGGGGGCAAATACCGGTATGGAGACGCATCTGGTGCACAGCACTCTACTCGAGTACTTGCACAACACCCCGCTGAAATCCTTCCCACATTTTCCATTACCGGTATCCATTTTTTAAACTCTCTTGCCTAATTGGATTCCCGCGATACGCTCCCAGCGCCCCAGAGCAGGGAGGCAAAGAGGGGGAGGAGGTCCTTTCGAGCTCTTTGTCGACCACATTGGACCGCAGGAGTGCTCCCGTCCCGTCTCCCCCTACAAGCTGGGTTTGGTTGAAAAGCCTTGAACACAGATTCCAGGATTGGGCAGTGCTACTATGTGATGCTCGCCTGTTCGCATCCATCCTCTTGGGGAAGTGTGCCTGTAAATCTCGTTGAACACCAGCTCGTTCCGAGCAAGCAAGGAGGTAGGCGGGCAATGCACGTACCGGTATTGTACTCGAGTATCATACGCGGCTGTCACATTAGTTCCCTTCCCGATGCCCTTTCCTTCTCACGCACTCGCTACCGTACTCGGGATTGAACGAGGTTCGCGAACACGGCTGCTATTGCATACCACTTAAATCCAGCTTTTCTTTTTTTGCTTAGATCTTAGCGTCACGCAATAAGTAGTCGTTCAATTACGAATATTTTCGATCCATGCACCCTCGATGCTTGATGTCCTCCCCGAACATCAAACCCTTCTTATTGGCATTGTACTTGTATGCTTATTCCTGCTTTTTCGTCTCGCTTCCACATGGTTTGTTTTGCCCCTTGACCCCCGCAGCGATACAGTCGAACACACGGGACTGGACTGTGATGCAGATGCTCCAGCGATAGGGGCACCTTCCTTCATCCTCTCAATGAAGATCTGAAGTTCAATTCGCGCCCCTCCTGCAGTCCTCTCGACATCGCCGTACATATGAATTGCGCATTTTCCGAAGGCTGGGCCCCCATCCCCACTGTGTCGGTGGACGTTCTAACTCTGGACGGGATACACTAGGGTAGAATAAGAAGGGATTCGGGTTCGGAGGGGGGAGAGCTTGTTTGCTTCTTTCCATTTTGATTTCTTTTTTGATTCCTTTCTCAATGTTTCTTTTTTCTTTTTCTCTTTCCTTTTTTTTTTTTCTCTTTTCTCCACCCAGAGATTCCAAGAGGTGGGTGTCTTGAAGAGCTGCAGCTTCTCTTGTTTTTTCTTGTTTTTCCCTATTCATCTCGACCTTTTGTCTGATGTTCGATTGATCTCTATTCTATCTTATCTTTTTTATTTTCAATTTTCCCACCTGGCTTATTTGTCGTCGTCCAAAAGCCATACTAGCTTTGCGGCACTGATATCTCAGGAGAGTTACCGGAATTTGGTAAATACCCATATCAGAACTTGATTTTATATCCGGTCGTTCCACCAGTCGCCTTCCGGTCATCGGGGCTTATTTACAAGTACTCTTTCCTTTTCTTCCTTATATAGCTTTTTTCTTTCTTTTTCTTCCTCCTTTTCCAATTCGGATTTTGCGGGGAGGATGCGGTAGGCTTTCCCTGCTGGTCGATCCCATCCCTCATAGCAGCAACATTATCGATCAGCTCCTACTCGAGTAATAACATCGTACCCCTTTCGTACCCATCCATTGAGTTCCCAAGTGTCACAGCGTCTAATAGTTCAAGAACGGACCCAAGGAACCGCGGGGGGTGCAATTATTTCCTGCAATAGAAAAAAGAGAAGCGTCACGAAGAATAAGAAAAACCCAAACCCCGGAACAGGCTGCTCTTTAGCCTGGAATTGTCTGAGGGTTCTGACTAGGGGTTCTCCTTGTTCTCCTTGTTCTCCGGGCTTGCTTCGCCGTGGTGGACTCTCCCGGACGGCCTCTTTTTGGACCGAATCATCTCTTTGGGCTGTGTCCAAGTTGCTCGCTCCCCGTGTGCACGGCGGGTTGTCTATCGTTCTGTAGTGTCCACTCTATTGTTCATCTGTTCTTTTGAGGACTCCCCTTCCTCTCTCCCCACAGCATCTCTTTTGAGATTTCTTTTTTTTTTTGTCGGCTTTAAGGGGATCACGGAAACGGTGAAGGTCAACCACATCGGCAAGCTACCCAAGACATCATCTGCCATCAACAATAACATTGGGAGTGGAGGCGTTGAGTGACTAGAGAAAGAATAGAGTTGTCAATTTCCCTCTAGTTTTAGTTTTCGGTTTTCGGGGGGTTTTTTTTTTTCTTTTATATAATTCATTCCTTTTTTGCCGCTTTTCCTCTTTCACCCCTCCTAGGTCATTTTTCCCTTCTCTTTCTTTCTTTCACTCATTCTCTCCATTCAAACAAGCGAAAAGATAATTGGTTATCCCTTGCCAGAATATTTTTACCTGGTCATGACGGGGTTGTATCGATCTTCACCCCATATCACGCCCGACGCGACTCACCTTACAACAACGTCATCAGCCTCAACAGCGCAAACATCCACCGATATTCAGAGCTTCAGTAGCAACAGCAACTCTGGCCTTCTCGTCGGTAATGCTCGTTTTGATCACCCACCGTTGACCGCCTTTTTTCTTGTGCCAGAAGGTGGAAACATGACAACTGGGACAAAGCCGTCAAGGGTTCGTAGAAAGAGTGCCCCGGGGTCAGAGACTGTAAAACATCGCCGCACGAGGTCAGGATGTTTTACATGCAGAACACGTCGCGTCAAGGTAACAAGCCTCCTCCCACCCATGATCTGCAAGATCATGGTATTCAGGTACCCCGCGCATACACCCCACCTGCCTCCCTCCTGCTCCGCACATACATTCCCCTCCCCCAATTTAAGCTCCTGCTATAGAACTCATCCATTGACTCTGTTATTCTCAATGCTTCTAGTGCGATGAGACACATCCTGTTTGTGAACGTAAATTCACTAGATCGCCTTTGAATTGGTTTAAAAATGATGGCTACTAACACAGATTCCGATACATAGGATGTCAAAAGGGTGGAAGGGAATGCACCTACCCCGAGGTGGTTCCGTCCAAATCTAGTTCGGCGCACAGGCATAGGCGAGAGAAACCACCCGTTTCGAGGGAAGGGAGTTCGTCCCTTGACGAATTGGAGGAAGAGGACGGATATGATGAATACCTGGACGATGACAAACCGACTCCAAGGTTAAGGACGTCTGCGAGTCAGGGTTACCTGAGAGGGTCCCAACGTCGAGAGTCATGGCCATCTTCGTCCGATCAGGGCCGCCGCGGAAAACCTCGAAAAACCGGCTCCTCCCTAGACCCTAGCCCCTCGCCGAGAAATGACAATTCGTATTATCCTGACTCTTCAGAGCCCGCTTCCCCAGCTGCATCTCTTCGAAGGGCCGCTTCGCATGCGAGTCTTGTTAATTTTGCAGAATGGGCGCATCTTCCCCACGATATTGCCTTTTACCTCAACTACCATCGACAAATGCTTACATGCCACCACTACCTCCTTAAATCCGACAATAGTAATTTTTTCAAAACAACCCTTCTGGAACTCGCTGTGGGTAACGAGGCTCTTCTTTATGCCGTCGCAGCATTTTCTTCCTTCCATTACAGTGTGCATCACAAAACCGGAGTGTTTCAGACCTTCTTGGAATATTACAACAAGTCCGTTGGGCTTCTCAGGGTCTCCTTGGATGAGGAACATACCATGTCAACCATTCTTACTATCCTTCAATTGGCTAGCTTTGAGGTATTGTTTTGATGGGCTTTGTTTGGCTGTCGGCATTTGCTCACATGTTTCAGGAATATCTTGGGGATTGGATGAATCTCATGGAGCATAGAAATGCAGCAACGAAAATTTTGACAGCATTATGGACCCCAGAGACCATGTCAGAGACGCCCCAACGACGAATGGTATTTAATTGGTTTGCTCATTTTGATGTATTGGTAGCCATGATGGCAGGACATAGAACCACTGTGGACAGCCAATGGACCGATTTCAACAGGCAGGCCGTTCACAGGGAGGCGGAAGCAAACCCGGATAACATCAGCCTCAAGGTTGAGAATGCATCCTGCGAGTTCAGAGACCTCGCTATGGATATCTCGATATTGACTGCTAAACGCTCCCAAGGGCTTATAATCATGGAGGACTTTCTAATAGAGTCGGCGAGGTTGTTACAGGCGTGCAAATCCTGGTTTGAGTCACTGGATCCGATCATCATGAGTGGGGCTGAGAAGGTTTTGAAAAAGGCCAGCACCTGTGTCGAGGACGATTGTCCTTTTGAGCCTGCGACTATCTACAAGGGGAATAAATGGGCGGTTAATTTCCTCGTGTGCGACTATTACGGCCTGATTATTATGCTTAAACACCAAATCGCTCTCACCAATGGTACAGGACCTGAGGTGTCCTTGCAGGACTTGGCCATAAAGATTTGCAATGTGTTGGCTGCTGTTGAGGTGTATCCGGATGCTCCTTCTGGTGCGCTGCTGGCAGCCCAGGCCCCGCTTGGCCTTTCGGCTCTTTGGATTCCCAACAACAAACGATATAGAAGGTGGATTCAGAAGCAGTTGGCCAAGATTGAGCAGATGGGGTATGCTGTGCTTGGTGTTTCCGATGGGGTCTCGGTTGCTAACAACGGATTTTAATAGTTTCGTTTACCCACTCGCCTTCCGTAATAGGATGTCGGAAATCTGGAATGACCCCCAGCTGAAGCACACCTGGATAACTAATAACACCGAGACGGCCATCGGTATGTCTATCCGGCAACTAGTTGACATGCGGGACGCAGAGTTTCCTAAGGACTCTGCCAGGCACGATATTAAGGAGATGAGAGCCTTGCTCACGGAGATGCGATTAGATTCTAAGGGCTCTGGTTCACTGCCAACTCCGGTTTCTGAATCCTCTCCCGATAACTCCGATATCATTCCTACTCGTGGAGATGACCAATCTTTCCATCCTGCAGTTCAGGATATCGGGCAGCAGTGGCCATGATGTCCCATAGCTCTCGCGTTTCCTATGAAATGTATCATGCCCGCCTAAGTGGAAATCATGATGGTGGCACACGATATCTTTCACACCGGTATTTTCTTCTCCGCGTTATGGTGCTGCGTGTGTTTGGCGGTGTATCGGGTGATACCTAAAGCGTACCACTCATGCTCGATAATTGTTTCTCCGCTTTTTCGCGTTGGCCTGGATTCGGGCTTGTTCAAAGGACCCTTTTTTCTTCCCATTGCCTATTTTCCACTTTGCCGGCCACTACTATTTTTCCACTGTTCGCCATCTACTTTCCTTTTGCTCTATTTTTCTGCTTTCGGCCTATTTTCCGTCTTGTGTATTCCTCTGCTCTTTCCCTGCCCACCTACCCACTACCTTACTTCTGGTTCTTAATATAAAGGGTGAAAGGGGATTTTGCTTATGGATAAGGAAGCCTAATAAGGGAGTAATGAGTAAAGAGCGTGGGTAGGGGGCTGAGTTTCTGTAAGAAATTATCTCCAGAGTGTTTCCTGGTGACTTGCCTTTTTCCTCTTCTGTTATCTTTCCTTTATTTGGGTGGTTCGGAGGGGGCGTACTGTAATATGGGGATACGAGGTGTTCCCACCCTTGGATTAACGTTGTTGCTTTATTCTCGCATTTTCTTTCTTCGATTCTTCTCTCCTGTGCCGCTCGTTACAAGCAATGGCGGCGGTAGCAAAGGGGGTGGTTGGTTGAGAAGGCTGGAATTGATGGACATGTATACAATATCAGGAAGAAAGGGAATCAGTCTTGTGTTAGCTATCATATTATCAGGATGGTGGTTACCACAATTGGTCTACCGGCACAACAGCACAGGACCAGTGCCCTCGATCTCATAAGTGTATCTGTGGGGGTTACACTACGCAAAGACTTAGGAATTCTGGAAACACGCACACAAGCACGAGCGACGATTTCCGCGGTACGTTTGGTCATTGGGACTCCTTGCCCTCAACGGGTCAAGAGCTAGCAGGCGCCATTCCTGTCCTCCCGAGTCGCCGAGTGAGAATATGTGCAGCCGAGGGACCCTGAATTGGGCTAAACGCAAGAACCAAAGCGGTTTCCTTTTCCCTTTCTGTCTTGGCCATACTCTTTTGTGTTGGTAGTAAATGCTTGACTGTATTCACCCCTCCCGAGGGTTGTTGGTTATGGAAGGTGTTATGGCATGGACTTGAATTATTTTAAGTATGTTGGTAGTGTCACTGTGCCACGCATGGGGAATTGCGGGTCAGAATTTTTTTATTGGGGGGCCATCTTTCCCTCTGGAGGTGCAATACGGTACGTGCAGGCTTACAGGACTGGGCCTGCTCGTGCCTAACTGGAGGATTAGTTATTCCGAATGCTATTACTCGAGGCAGGTTGCAACTGATAGCAGGTCCGACAGACTTTTGTTAACACGCACTCCCTGCTCGGGTTGCTTGCTTTTTTTTCCCCACTAGGTGTCGATGGGGCCCGGAATTGAGATTTTGTGCCATCGCGGAGTATCGCCCAATGCTTCATCACGTTCTGCATTTCTCCGAAAACCCCTCAAAATGGGTCGTCGGAACACGCCGAAGCTGGTATTCTCGTTGTGTCGGGGATACTAGATCCTTGACGTTACCCGAGAGGGCACTTTGAGAACTCTCCGTTAATTCTTTCTGCCCTTCACCGAAATTTACCTTGACCCCTCCGTTCCATTTTCATGACCACCGCCCCTCTGGGGATATTACTAATGTGGGAAATAATTGGCTGAAGGAGAAGAAACAAACCACGAAACCACACATGTCGCAATTGTGATACATCTTGGCACACGGTGCCCTACCCTCCTCGAGCCAGTAAGGGGTCTGGTGGGGATGCATCGTTCCGTTGGTCGGTTGGTAGGGTGTCCTCTCTTGCTTTTTATTTTCCTACTCTGATTTTTACGGTAGGGTATGGTACATTAACTTATACTCTTAGCTGGCTGGCTTTACCGTGGTTATGAGTACGATTGGTGTCGATATTTTTCGAATGTGGTGTCTCAGCCGGTGGGATATTTTTTGAGTTTTTTCCCGCTGGGGGGGGGGCATTAGTTAGTGGTACAGTCCTATGATCCTTCGAGTGAGCTTCTGTGATTAGGGTACGGGTTATGCCTGCCTACGGCGGGGGGGGGGGGGGGGGGCAGTATGATAAGTGGTTTGGTTTAGTATTGGACGGGTTGGGGTTAAGCTTTTCCGCTGTTTTTCTTTTCTTTTTACTAACAAAAAATAAGGATAATAATCTGGTCTATGCCATTTGGTGCTTGGAGGACGTATGGAGGGTACTCATAATTCCTACAAAACACAATACCATACTTAATACGAGGAAGGAGAGGTGAGTTTTCAACTTCCCGTGCCGTGGGGTGTTGTGATATTGGTGTTTATTTCGGGGGATTAGGGGGTTTGGGGTCTCTTGCTTCGTTGCCTCTTATGATATGATTACTTGTGTGCGGTGGCCGGCATTTCGTCGAGACAGGTTTGCCTCTTGTGGCTATACTTTCCTTCGTGCGATAGATTGGGATTTTTTGTCCTATTTGATAAACGGTACCTGTCCATTGACTAGGTCACCGATAGTAAGGTCTACCTTAGGATGATCACTCCCCGGCACATGTTGTAGTTATTGATGTCTCCTGCGAACTGGGCGTGTCCGTGAAAGAATCACCCCCTCCTTTCTCTCTCCGCTTCTCTCTACGCCCTGGTGCTTTCTCACTATACTTGCTGGATCCCCCCAAGCAATGCGCTACGCACATAGACCCCGAAACTTTAGGGATGGGGGAAGCCTGGGACACCAACTGGGTTTTCTGGTGTGCTCTGGAGGTCAGAGGTGTTGTGCGCTTTTAGGAACCTATTGAAAGTTCATAATATGATTGTTTTACTACTACCCCATATTGAGAGATTACCTGAGGATGGGGTGGGGTCCTTATGGATTGTGGATAGGCAAGTGGCAATGGATCTGTGAAAGATAGTTTCTATGGAGTTCAGCCTCTGGACCGAGTTTTTAACTTTGGCATTTACGGCTTGGCTAGATGTTGGTGCTCGGGACTCATGAATATAGTATTACAATAGTTTCCCTCCCAATTACAAAACCGCCGTGGAAGGATCAGCATGATTTTCGGTGTACTTCCCGAAATTGGGCCCCCGTCGTGTGCTGTGTGCCTGCCGTATTAGTAGCATAAGGGTTCCCTCCCCCATTGTTGTAGGTGCCAGGGAATCTTCAATGTGTCGCCCGATATGACCCACTTGGTAGTTCTCCTGTTGGCCTCTATTCTAGCACTGCCCGGGATCGTGTCACACTCTTGAAGAGGGAACCCGAACCCCTCACTGGGATTCATCTCCGGACCTCACTATATTAAACTCTAACGGAAGCAAACCATCTATTCGCTCACATAGCGCACTACAATTTTTGGTATCAACTAAGAAATTCGGGCGGCAATCTTGGTACCCAAACCCCGTGCGCTTTGATGGATCCTCCCCTCCAAATACGGCAGCCAAATTGGGTAATATAGATTACAAGTTAATAAATAGCCCGCGCCAGTGGTTACTTGAAGTTTCGTCATTTGGCTCGTGTTGTCCTGTGATCAAAGACCTCTTACGATCTTTTCCGGTTAACCATGTTCCATCCAACATCAGGCTACCTATCATAATTACTTGTACCCCTTGCTCTCCCGCTCCAGCCTGAAGGGGGCCGCAACTTATGCTGGGACTCAGATCGGTCGCAGAGCACGGACACACACTCTTTATGGTGGGGCGGCAGTGTGTGCCGCGGTCCGATACATTGCTAGCTGGAAACAACGTTAAAACGCGCGGATAAGATGCATTCACTGGTAGAATGTTTTACAATGAGCGCAATTCACAAATTATCCCCGCGGGAATCACATAGCCGTTGATAGGAGTGAAGGGAAAAGGAGAAAAAGAACCTCATGTAGACCTGCTATCCTGCTATCCTGCTATGCTGCTATCGGGCAATTATTCTGGGCTCTCCCTAGTATATGAACTTCTAGATGAGATACTTCGAGCAAGTATAGGGGGTTAGGCAAGCGGTATCATCCAAGGTCTAAACACTGGATATTTTAGCCCCTCGGGTTAGAAGGAAAAATCAATCAAAATTTCATGACAGGTTATGGATAATATGATTCTACACCAGTGCCTTGGGAAAACTATATTATTAGAACCACCGGACTAAACCCTCGCCATCCTCCCGGGTATCCTTTCCGACACTCTCAGGCTGTCAAGTACTTGTATGGCCTTTCTCTGTTCAATATCGTGCAGGGTAGATATATATCACATATTGTGGGGGACTCCTTAAATCAACCTACTCCAAACCCCAAGATCGTCCAATTTTGAATGATAAAGATTCAGGAACAATGACACCTATTAAAAATATGAAGTTATTAAATAATAGATTAGAAGCTAGAGAACAAGGTAATAGAAGCAGATTTAAAAAATATGGGGTTTTGGTTGAGTTGTCAAGAGGCAGTTATTTGGACAATGTTATACCCCTATTATTTACTGTTAATATACCAGTTAATCTGCCCAGGCCTGGAGTAACTACATATTAAAGAGTGGTGGGGGTAGATTAACCTAGATTAACCTATTCCTAGTAAGCTAAAACAAATGTCACTGTGGTCCAGTTTAAGGAGTCCCTTACTATAAGTATAAAGTTATCATCTTCTTGCCTCCAATATTATCTATGGAGGTACAGCCTATAAGCCTGAGTATTCATCCTCCGCACCCCCTATTCACCTCCTGATTGAAAACACTTCCTATTTGGGATGGTGAAAACTCTGCATTTTCCCCGGCATGAATGTTACACAAAGCCTTCTCCCAACCTCGCTTAGGCTTCAAAGCCTTTACAACCTAAACTAGTCCCTCCTTGCTACTAGGTTTTTCTCAGCACCAACGCATTTCACGTCATACAATGTCTGCTCCTAGCCCTGCACCGAGGGCCCCCTCTGTGGGGCCCCAGTGCACCTCTTCCAGCTGTGCTAG